ACCTACAGCATGGCCAACACTGCCTCAGCTCCTGCACACCTGGACAACAGCTTCACATGCCCTTGGTACCCCCGAAGTCTGAGATCCCCATGGCAAGTCAGTTTTCCCAGTGACTTTTTGCATCAGCTGGAGCAAGTCCCCTAAAAGCTCTGCTTCACCCATCTGTGAGAGCTGGGGGAAAGCTTGCCTGCTTCCTCCTGCAGTGGAATAATTTTAATTCATGACCATTTCTCTGCACTGGATGAATAGTGTCACTGGGCTGAAAAATGTTATTGTTATTATCCCTTTAAATTGAAAGTGGATTGAAGGAATAAAAGTAAATGTATGGTCTGTTTTGGCAGATGTCTTCCAACAGATGGGTGTCTATGGTCTTCTTTATAAGAGCTGTCTGCTGCCTGTGATTCAGACTGTCTAAGGAATGCCATGAGCTTGGAGTAAATGGACAGCAAGTCTGGGAAAGGACTTTATTGTGGTTTAAAAGCTTTCAGTTCCCAACTGCACGAACAAGTTCTTTTTTTTTTAAGTCACTCTCTGCCAGTGTTTCAAAACTATCACTGCAAATGGCCTGATGCCTTCTGAGAGCTTTGTGCTGATAAGAGTCACGGGCTCAGCATCAGATGGGGATGTGCCTTCCACCCTGCTGTGGAGCACCAGGTCGTGGTGGGACCCTGTTCGTGCCCAGGGCACTGCCAGCCCTCGGCAGCTCTGCCCGTGCTCTCCTAATGGGCTCTGCATGTTCTTCGGGACAGGAAACGCTTTGTAACACAACTTGCCTGTGGGCACTTACTGCACCAATTAAAGATTCCTGAGCCCGAGAACAAAGAGGTGCCAGTGGAACTATGGTTTTAATCACTTGATTCATTTTCTTCCTTCCTCCACTGCTGATTTTGGATGTAAGGGTTTTTCTTCTCCTCGCTTTGTTTCAGTTTGCGTGTTTTCAGGCAGTGGGGCAGCTGCTCAAAAGGCTGGGGAAAGGGCAGGCTGGAAACAGGCATGGGTTTCCCTGAACTTTTTAATAGAGGATTGTTTCTAGAGGTGAAGATTAGCATCAGATGGAGCTTGTCATAGCAATGGTGGCCATGGTTAGACTCGATGGTCTCACAGGTCTCCTCCAACCTTGATGACTCAATGATTCTAAGAATACAAATCCTTAGCTCTTACTCAGATATACAAGTTGGGGTTTTTTCTGAGAATCCATGTAAGGTTTAGTAACATGAATGAATCAAACACTTAACTGTACTAGAGGGAAGGATAATAAGATACCTTTTAATAATGGTAAACTAAGGTACAGGGAAGTTAAACACTTTGCCAAAAGGCCAAGCTCAGACTCAGCCCAGACCTTCTCCTCATACACTGATCTTTCTACTTCCTGCCAACAGACTGCAGGTTTTTGGGAGCAGAACCACCTTTTTGTTCTGTTTTCACACTGCCCCTAGAAAAGCAAGACTCTGGCATGTGACTGGGACGACTGGATCCTAGCGCTACACAACCCCATGGAGCAGAGATCCAAAAATAAAGCATGCAGTGTACTCAAGGAGTGCTGTAAGGTCCTGGGAGAGAACAGAAAATCCGTAAGAAGGTGAGTCAGAGCCCCAAGAATGAGTGTGATGAATACATAGATTTGCTAGAGCGTTTGAGCGAAATGTTTTGGAGAACATACAAACTTCACTCTTAGTCAAACTCTGCCTGGGCCGAAGTGACCACACCTTCTATGAAAAGCAGTGCTAATTAAAAACAGAGAAGAGCTTTTTTTTTTTTTTATGCAAATTGTTGCTGGGACTGAACCCCAGCCCATTTGCAACATTCAAATCCACTCCTGCCTAAAACACCAGGAAAGAAGAACATTTCCCCCTCTGCCCTGTGTCGCGATGGGAAACAACTACAAACCAAACTAAAGCCACCACCTCCTGTGTTTCTGGGGATGGAATCAGGCCAGGGGCTAGAGAGGAAGGCAGTTTCTGTCCAGCTGGGGAGGCAGCTGGAGCTCTGCCCTGCTGGGGCAGCTCCACCGCCGCAATGCGCGAAGGGGTCGAACTGCCTTCCCACACAGCAGAGGTTCCAGTACAGGGAATTCCTCACGGGATGCTCACAGCATGCCAACCCCCAGCCAAGCCCAGGGAGGGCAGCAGGAACTGGGACTGCAGGGATGCAGGGAGGGCAGCAGGA